AGGCAGGGGGGAGGGCTTCTTAGAAAGGCGCCGGCCTTACATCTACAGAAAAGGCCCGCGCCTTCTGAGAAGCAGCCTCCTTCGGGCTCCGAGCGAACTTGCATACATAATCCGAGGACTGCAGTGAAGAAACAGGTGTTCTTCTTCTTCTTCTTCTTCTTCTTCTTCTTTCTGTGGGGTGTTTCTAAGAAGCCCTCTCCCCTCCCCCCACTCCCCTCTGCGCGTGGCAGACATCCTCCCGACTGCCCCGGGGCCTGGCGAGGGCTCCCCGGGGCCGAAAACGGCCCAAGGCCTTCCGTCGAGATTTGTTCTCAGCCAGGAAGTGGTAGGGTTAGGTCGGCCATGTCCCCCTACAGGCGGACTCTGGGCGAACAGTTCAAACTAGTCAAGCACTACTGCGAAATAATGAAAAACTGGTCGAAACATCTTCCCCAGACTATTTTTTCACTATTTTTGAATAGCCCGGCTTAGATGCCAGGGGATCGTCGCGCCGCCGAGCCTTCCCTGTGCTGTCGCCGGTCGTGCGCTGCTCCGAGGTGGAGGCCGGCGGCGGCGGCGCGGGCTCCAGCGCCACGGGGTCGGAGGGTCGCCTGCGTGCCTCTTGGCGGGGCGACCACCGCCTCCCGCGCTGCCCTCTCTCCCCCCTCCCTCCTCCCCGCTCCTCCCTCCTCCCTCCGCCCCCCCTCCCTCCTCCCTCTCCTCCCCTCCTCCCTCCGCCCTCCTCCCTCCTCCCTCCGCCCTCCTCCTCCTCCCTCCTCCCTCGCTCTCTCCTCGCTCCTCGCCAGGTCCCTCCTGCGCCTGCTGGCGCAGGCTCGAGCTGCCTCGTCCCCTCTCCTCCTGCTGCTGCCGCTCCTCCTCCCCGTCTCCCGGGTCGCCCGGTGTCGCGCTGCGCGCCGCTGCGAGGCGCGGAACGCGGTATCCTCGCGCCCCCGCGGGTGAGCTAGCGTGCCTTCTCTCCTCCTGCCCCCTATTCTCTACTTCCTCCCGTATCATCCATTGACAGCTTCTCCTCCTCCTCCTCCTCCTCCTCCTCCTCCTCCTCCTCCTCCTCCTCCTCCTCTTTACGCATCCCTGGCGAACCTGCTTGATAGCGACCACGTCCTTCCCCCAGCGACCTGCTTCTGCGCGGGAGACTGATCACAAAACAAGCCCTGTGTTCATGTGGCAGCAACGCCCTCCTCCCCGAGAGGAGGAGGAGGAGAAGGAGGAGGAGGGTGATGATGATTCTGACTGCAATGATGAGGAGGAAGAGGAGGAGGAAGAAGAGGAGGAGGAGGAGGAAGAAGAGGAGGACGGAATGAGGATGCTGATGATGAGGAGGAGGAGGAGGAGGAGAAGGAGGAGCTATTGCGGTAATGGTGAGGAAGGGAGGTCAGGAAAGGGGGGCGCGAGAGGAAGGGCATGAGGAGGATTCATGAGCAGGAGGGGGCGGTGGATGATGAGGTACTGACGCGGGAAGAAGTCGAGGAACAAGAGGGTTCGAAGGGGGAGGCTGAAGAGGGAGGATGGCGGAGGAAGACCTCGTTTTGAACCCTCGCCCGAGCGACCTGCCTCTGTCTTCTTGAGGTTCGAGATTGCCTCCCCGGGGCCCGAGAGCCTCAGGCGGATGAAGCCCAAGTTCTGACCTCCCTTGTCGAGGCTGCCCTGCACCTCTGGCACGGAGGCCTCCTCCTCCTCGTCCTCCTCCTCCTCGTCCTCACTCGTCCTCCTCCTCCTCCTCCTCGTCCTCACTCCTCCTCCTCCTCCTCCTCCTCCTCCTCCTCCTCCTCCTCCTCTTCCTCCTCCCCACTCCTCCTCCTCACTCCTCCTTACTCCTCCTCCTCCTCCTCCTCCTCCTCCTCCTCCTCCTCGTCGTTCTCCTCCTCCTCCTCCTCATCATCATCATCCTCCCAGTGAATCCGCGACCCCCTGCCAGTCAGACTTTGGTGCATGTGTCCACCGGGGTTAGGCGTATCGGTCGACTGTCCACAACACGCCACAATGGGGGTGTGCCCATCCAACTGATTTGTCTCAATGCCCATTCTGCTCCTCCTCCCTTCTCCTTCCGCGCCTCCGCTACCAGCTTCCCCTCCTGCCCCTCAACTGGAAGAAAAGCATGTGATTGACTTCAGCTGGTTCGTGTTGTAAGATTTCAGAGACCTCCTCCTGTCCCTCATCCTCCTCGTCCTTCCCATTGCCGTCGTCGTCGTTGCCCTGCTCCGTCTCCGCCTCCGTCCTTCTCCCCCTCTCTCCCCTCCTCCCCCCCCTCCCCCCCCCTCCTGCTCCTTCCTTCCCCTCCCCCCCCACCTGCGCCCCCTTCCCCTACTGCCGTTTCCCCTCCTCCTGTCCCCCCCCTTGCTCCTCCTGCTCCTCCTGCGCCTCCTCCTTCTCCTCCTCCTCCTCCTCAACCTCATTTCCCCCCACTTCCCTTGTCTCCTCCATTTGTCGAAAGCGCCCTGCACCCAATCGCCCTCCGGCAGGAGGACACCCTTCGCAATGCCGCCGTCGGCGTGCATCTCACAGAAGAAGTACCTGCGGAGACCGCCAACTGCGCACCGACGCCAACGAGGAAAAAAAGGAAAATAGCTGGGAGGAGGGACGGCATGAGAACGAGGAATGGGGGGTTCAAAGAGAGAGAAAGGGGTAAGGCATAGAGACGGCGTGTCCTCCTCCTTTTTCACCCCTGCTACTCTTCCTTTGCCTCTTCCCCCCTGCTGCCGATCCTCAACGATTCTCCTCCACCTCCTTCTCTTTGCTCCTCCTCCTCTTCCTCCTCGCGCACTCACAACCTGAAGACAACTGAGTTCGATGAGCGCTGCCAACGTGAGGGCCGGCGAATTACACTCCCCCCCCACTTGGGCCACAGAAACTGAAAAAGGCCTGGCCCCTGTTTCGAAAACCGAAGTTGACATCAGCTCTAGGCGCCCAAGGGGCCCCTTGGAAGGAGCCCTGGGAAAGGCCCTACGACACCCTGCGCCCTCCTCCCGCCCTCCCCTGCAGTCCCTCTGCCTTCCCTCCTTCGTGTGCTCCCCTGCAACTTGTTGGGGCGTCTGCGGGCCCGCCTGGGATGACGCCCCGAAAATGCCGGCCAACGCGATGCAATTGTTTTGGCGCCGTGGAGATGGGGTATAACTATACCGCGGAAGAGGCTTGATTATACACCCCACCTGCGAATCTACCCCACCCGCGGAAGGATAATTTCGAAGGCGGCGCGGAAGCTGGAGGTCCGACGTGGACTGCTCCGCCTGCAGCTCCCAGATGCCCAGATTCCCGGAATGTTTCAGAAAAGACCTCGGGAATACCGCATGTTTTATGTTTGTTTGTTGGTCCTCGTTTTGCACGATGCACTTTGTCATGCGAGGCACGCGGGCGAATAAATCCACTTCGCTCTGCAAAGGCGGAGGGGACCGAATCAAATCAACCCCGACAACGTACATGCCTGGGTGTACTTTAAATGCCTGCAGAGGTGGCGGGGCGGGCTCTAAAATCTCCACCTCAACCACCACCACCTCCTCCACCTCCTCCTCTTCCTGATCCCTGCTCTCTGGCCTCTTCCTCGCTCCTCATCCTCCTCCTTCTCGTCCCTGTTCTGCACACTCACCATGGTCCCGCCGCCCTGTCCCCTCCCTTCCCTGCCGCCGCCTGCACACTCCACCCTATCCTCTTTTCCCTCCTCCTCCTTCTCGTCCTCCCCCTTTTCCTCTCCCTAGTTCTCCTTTTCCTCCTCCTCGTCCTCCTCCTCCTCCTCCTCCACCTCCTCCTCCTTCTCGTCACTGTCACTACCACCACCGTCATCATCCTGTGCGCAGCTGGTGAGCCCCTGGGCACCCGCCAGCCGGGTCCTCGGTGGCCTGCAATAAGTACTTGGAAGACCTCCCGTACTTCCACAGGCCGCCTCCGGGGGGGGGGAAAGGTCGACCCACGTCCCGAGCAGCAGGGGAGGCTAAGGAGTAGAGTTGATTGGATCTGGTACGAAGGATCGCAAAAAAACCCGAAGGATTGCAAAAAAACACAGGATTGCAATCCTTCGTTGGGTTTTTTGCAATCCTTCGTTGGTTTTTTTTGCAATCCTTCGGTTTGTTTGCAATGTTTCGTTTTTTTGCAATCCTGTTTTTCCCCATATCCTAAGGATTGGGGTTCTTGTTATTACTCTGACGCCTCCCACTCCTCCTCCTTCCTCCCGCCTCCCGCCTCCCTCCTCCCACTGATAATCACCAGATAAGATAAGACATGATATAAGATAAGCTAAGACAAGATAAGAGATTTCAAGACAAGATAATAGATTTCAAGATAAGATAAGATA